ATTATTACTTTTTTATCATTTCAAATAAAGTGAGACTAAATGTCTGAATTGCTTACCAAAATGTTTAAGTTAAATGGCCTTATCATCTTAACGTTATAAATTATAATACTGTTTCAACTAACAACGCTTGAAGGTAATCAGTCAAGATAAGCCAACTAAAACTATTCTGTTGTGTTTGACTGATGAGATCCTTAATTCATGTGAATACAGTATGGAATTCCATGGAATGGGTTAATTCAAATAAAGTGAGACTAAATGTCTGAATTGCTTACCAAAATGTTTAAGTTAAATGGCCTTATCATCTTAACGTTATAAATTATAATACTGTTTCAACTAACAACGCTTGAAGGTAATCAGTCAAGATAAGCCAACTAAAACTATTCTGTTGTGTTTGACTGATGAGATCCTTAATTCATGTGAATACAGTATGGAATTCCATGGAATGGGTTAATTCCCATTTATGTCCCTCTCCCTCTCTCTCCCTTGGGCCATATGTGCTGGTATGCAAAACTGCTTGACTGCACTGCAGCTGCCTGTGTGGATTGCGTGTTCTGCCAACATGCTAGGAGAAGTGTTGAAGTAGGCAAAGTTGCTGCCAGGGACAAATATCAGGAATGTTTTGATTAAAATAGCACACGATCATAAACGATCACTTGGAATGCATTGGTAGGCTGATTTGTAGACAAATTTGATGTCACTTAAGGAAAATTTAGTTAATAAAACCTGTTATGCTGTAAAAATTATTCTGAAGGAAGTCAAACAGGCTTATTTGCCTGGCTGAATGATTGTGGCAGGATGATTCCATACTCTAGTTAAATATGTAGAAAACCCAAATTCTGTCCATCAAATTGTTGCTGATTAGTAAAAATGTGCGTGAAAGTTTCATTTTATTATGAAAGGAAATCAGTATTCCAATAAGTGAAACACACAGTATGTGTTAGCATGATAAATGAATTGTGATGTCGAAATAAAGGCCATTCCCATCATTCATATGTGAAACTGCATTGTCCTGCTTTACAGAAGTATTTGAAAACCAAACATAGGTATATTAGGAAAACAAAGACACATGTTGGACAGGTTTAGAGATTTGTTCTGGGGCCGGACAAACCACTGAAACTGAAACAATGTGACGGACCTCTGATGTTTCTCTTTGTGAAGTTAGACCTGGTTTTCTGAAAATTGCTATTGATTTACATTTGCAGCATTAATCAGATAATATTTCTGGGTAAAATATTCTGACAGTAGGCATAGTTCACCCAAAAAATGAAAATTCTGTCATCATTTATTCACCCTCATCTCATTCAAAAACCTGCATGACTTACTTTCATTTGTGGAATATTTAAGATATTTTGAAAATTGTCTCTCTCTCTCTTTTTTTTTGTTGATGAAAATCAGTGGAGTCCAATGTTGTTTTGGACCCCAATGACTTTCATTGTGTGGACAAAAAAGTTCCCTTTAATGGTTTGACTGCGGTAGGCGTATGCTGAATTGTAGACAGCAGACTTTCATTTAAAATACTGCTAAAATACTGATTTTTAATTCATTTCATTGATGTGTTTGTCATGAAGTCTATTTGTGACATTATTTGTGACATACATGCACAAACATTTTGTTTTGCCATGCCTATGCCACATTGCCAAATGTTAAATCAAGATCCACTAAATGTAGTTATGTATTGAATGCGCATCAAAGGCGAGTATTTTCTGTTGCTCATTAGAGAATTTAAGGATCATAGCAGCCAGGGAGCATCTGTTGATGTTGGCACACGGACATCAGCGTATGAATGCAAGTAATTCATGTTGCATGTCATTAAAAACTCAGGATATGCCGACAATTGGATGCCAGACTTTAGAAAATGCAAAGCATGTGAGTGAGCATCTACTGTACATGAACTAATAAACTCACATGTCTAAAAACTGTTTACCACAGATGAATTGTGAATTCTCATTGTTTATAATTTTCAGGTCAAAATCATAGTAAAAAAAATGCCATGTATAATGCAAATGGGTTGTATTTTAACACAACATTCATGACATATATACAGTGTGAGCTCTTTGGTGTTTTGAAAGTATTTGCATTAAGTGGTCAAATTCTCTCAAGCTCTACAATAAACATTGTCATGCACAAGAAAATATATTTGATCCTGAAATTCAAATTCAACATGTTTCTTTTTTTCGTTTTCTCAAAAGGGTTGTATTGATCACCAATTGCATTCATATTTTGTGATATTTTAAAAAAGCAGGTTATAATGTCAAGTGTAGAGTTATAGTTTTAAAGGGTGTGGTGTGTCAGGAAGCCCACATTGTCAGTGGAATTATGGGTGACTTACTGAAAGAGCTTTTAAGATAATATTTAATGCTTAATGGCACTGAAAATAACTACTTAATCCATGTGAGTATTTGTGTTTATGTGACATGTGAACTAGCACACAAACAGAAAAAAATAGAAAGAGAGATATGTGTGAATTACCTTTTATTGATGAATATGGGCGTCTTCAGGATTTCTAATAATGGGAAATGTAGATTAGTACAAACTGTTGGGACACAATTATATTGAGGGATAACTATATCAAAATACTAGCAGACTGTTTAGACTGCTTTGGTGGGGAAAACAAAAACTGCATAGGACTGCATCTATCAGATTAGGATTTAGGATTTAGGAGCGAGTAGGCCTTTCTGTTAAAAACCATAAGCCATATCAAAATTCAAGTTTAGCCTAATTTTCGTAAAAAAGTGTGGCTGCTATAATTTTGTGGATCTTTGATCTTTCAAATTCACCAAGCCTAGCTGTAGAAGAACATTAATTAAGACGCTGTTAAAGCAAAATTACGATAATTTGAAAGTAATATGAAAAGCAATCATGTGAAAATCATTTTGTGGTCTCCCACAGTCAGACTATTCAAAACCTTTTTATGGCACTAAAACCAGACAAATGATGAGACTTACTTCTTAGACTTACTGTTTTCCACCTGTGTTGTTGATTTTCCACAAAAATAATGTCACTTCTTGGAGGATAATGTTATAGCGTGCAGCAGTGCTGCATTTTAGCACTTCTGGTTTCATCGTCCTGAAGTCAATGGGTTTACTGAATGGGATTTTGTTAAAATGTCTGAAATAGGGTCTGTGATTAACACAAGTTAAAAATATTTTCACGTTTTATTCACTGGCATGAAATATACCAGTATACCACATTCTGATTTTTTAAGAAGTTTTTGCTTGGAAAAGGTTGTTGCTAACAAGTGGCTAAATGGAACAAGGTTGTCATGGGCATTAAGCATCATCATCTTTACCCCTTTTACAGCCTCATTGTGTTTATATCACATTCTTGCAAACTATTTTAACTCAAACTTTGGAAACTGTCTGTTAAATCAAGACTGAAACTAAAAGGGAAAACTAATGGTGATGTCGGAGTCAGTGGTTTAGTTGTTTAGTGTTTATTCCTGCCGATTGTATGAACAAAACATGCAAAAATGTAAACTTCTGCTGGTCACAGATCTTATTTTCTGCAAAAATCGAAAAGCCAATGGAAAAATGCTATTGTGTTTTGTTTTTGTTTTTCTCCAGGGAACAAAGGTGATGCTAATTTCCAGGTTGGCCTACAAAAACATGTCATCAGTGTAGCACTCTATCAGCAACTGGATTTTGTCAAGAGGTCAAGGTTTGGCTGAACCAGTTAGCCTCTGCTGGTGGATACCATAACTACATGTGAGCCATGAACTGAGTTTCCATCAGCAAACATGGCAGCCAGTAAACAATTTACATGAGAAGAATAAATCAAATTTTATATCAGTATATAAAACACTACAGGTTTTAAGTAATACACAATAATCATATTCTCTTACTAAAAGAGATTTTTTTAAATTGAAAATCTAAAAATGTACAAACAAAACAGACTTTAAGTGAACAAAAGTAAGAAATATCAAAATACAGTGGCAAATATATAAGGCAGACATAACTATATGTTATATACATTGCATAGCAGTAGTTAAATTTGAATCAGAAATAAAATAAAATAATAATACATTTACATAACTTTGCAAAAGGGGTTATAAGATATGAGTCACTAAACTCATTGAAAAAAATGAGCTAATGTAATAGCCTTATTACTTGAAAGTGCACATACGGATGAAGCAATAATTCTAAGGTCATTTATGAAGCAAGGAAAAGAAGGGGTGGTTTTCAAAAATCTACACTTATGAATAAAAAATGTACCACAACAAAGAAGGTTGTTAATCAAGAAGTGTTGCATACAATCTTTTTAAAACACTCCAGACTTAACTTATAGGTTTATAGGTAAGAGGGTTAACATGGATATTGACACAGGACATTCTGTTATGAGAAAGAATCCCTTTGAGCAATAATACCATGCTTCTAGGAATGGCATTTACAACTGTGTGAAACTCTTTAGGATGACATACAAATCCAGGTTTCAGGCAGAAATCATTGTAGCTGAGAATGTCACCATGGCTATCCATCATATCCAATAGAGAAAGGATATTATATTTAAACAAATTTTCATAAAATGACTTATCGCAATATAAAACTATATCTACTTTCCGAAGATATTGTAAACCATATAGGCTACTGTTTGTGTTATGAAGAAATTATCTTAGTCATTGAGTTTTTAAGACATTGTTCAATATTTCCAAGTCAATAACATTCAGACCTCCTTTTCTTCAAAACTGCGAACCAAATCGTAGTGATGCCTATTTTACCAAATCAAATTAAGGATTGTTACTAAAGGAGGAGATGAGACGGTCCTCACTGCAGAACACAGGATCCAGGGAGCGAGGTCCAGATTCAACTCCTCCCACCTTACATATACCTAAGCCTACCCGTCTCCACCCCCTGAACAATTTTAGTTTTAATTAGTTAATTAGTTTATTTATTTATCTAAAAATTAGTTTATTCAACATCTGGCGTCTACTATTAATAATCTTGAAAGCTCCCTTAAGAATAGAGATTTTTATCTCCCTTCTCACCGGAAGCGGTTAACATGTGGTAGGCTTTAACTTCAAACAGGCCCGACGGACTCACAAATTAAATGAGAAGAATCAGCATCCAGAGACTCGCTCTTCAGCTTTCCTCAATGAGAAAACATAACGCAGCGTGAGGTAAACTTATATAGCGGAAACCAGACAAACGACTTACAATATTATTGAAACGCTTTCTTTGTGTTAATGCATTGCTTTGACACTTCTGTAATTAATTTTGTACAGAAGTCTTGATTAATATAGCGTAGATTCAAATAACACCTTCAGTCCGCCTTAGTTATTCTTGACATGAAATGGGGAAAAATTGAACTAGGCCACGGGTCTTGTCAGAGTAGGTCAATCTCACGGTAGTGTCAGCTCACTACCTCTAGATGGCATTGTTTAGTCGCCAGTCATCTGGGATCTAACTCTGAATGTGATTATCACATGAATAAAAAACTTTCTGTTATTAATAGGATAATATTAAAAAAAAAAATTTAAGTTTATTATTATTATTATTATTATTATTAATTAGTAGTAGTAGTAGTTGCTGAATGACCCAAAGTGTAGTAGCATTACAATAGGCTACTAAATTCTGTAGTGTTATATGTTATTCATTTACTTGATACAGTACACAATCAATTCAAGTGTGCTTCTTTGAGGGTAATGTAAGTTGTTGTAATAATTGAGTGATTATATAAATACATCTATAGAGCTGCATTGTGCTGTCAGAATGTTATCGAATTTAATTTGCAAATGAGGGAACCAGATCTCTCTAGAGTAGCCCATTAAGGTATGAAAAAGTTTTGATCCAACTATGTTTTCCCCCGTGCGTTACAATCATCCGTGATTGTGTTACAACAGATGACAATACACACCCCATCGGTTTGTCTTTGTCTGTGCATTTTATTTGACATTTGACAGTATTATTGTATTTAATTTCCTTCTCTGATCATTGCAATCATTTCCACAACATTATTTTTGCTTGTTTGTAAGAGAGAACACAAGTCTAATGTTGCTCTCTGGGGAAAAGTTCAATATAATTTGTTAATTAAATGGATTAATTTAATTACAGTAGCTACAAAAACATTCATCAATATAATTGTTCCTCCAGCTCAAATTTAATGAATGTTTAAGTGAAAACAAGTCAGTTTCAAATGTACATAAATAACCCCCCCCCCACCCCACACCTATTAATTTTCCCTTTTTGATCCTCATCGCACAACATCCTGTCGGTGTTTGTTTGATTTTCAATAATACAGCGTCGCTGAAACCAAACATTTATTACAGCAATTTAATTTAACCTCTCAACAGGCTTTTACAAGACGACCAGAGGGATAGTATCAGTGAAAGGCACTCAGTGTTCAGTTATTAATCTCCTGCCGCCGTTGGCCCTTTCATAAAAGGTATGTATTATCCAAACTCCAAACATACCACTGCCATTCAAGCTGTCTCGGATTTCATCGCAATGTGGACCAGATAGAGTTCAATTCGTCCATGCAGGCCAAAATAATAAAAGATAATTTTGGCTAATCTGCCCAAGGAATGTGGAGCGTTTGATGTAGACAGTGGTGAATCTTCAGTTGAAATAATTGCATATTGACTCGGTCAGGACGGTTGGCTCAGGTACGCTCATCTGTGTCTTACAGGTGTTCTCCTTGCTAGACAACCCATGCCTTGTTTACGAGAGAGAGAGAGAGAGAGAGAGAGAGAGAGAGAGAGAGTTCATCTGATAGCAGAAACTGCTTTTTTGTTGAACACTGGAATGAACAAAATGATATGGGAACACTCAAGTGTATCCAAATTCAAAGGAACAAGATAGTTAAAAAGTGTCTAGTCTGGTCTCCTGAAAATCGCAGATTTTTATTTGAAAGGTAACTCCTATAAGTTATATAAACTGTTTTTACGAGGTATGTGCCTGGAATTGAATGAAATGCGCGAATGCACTAAAAATTCCACCCTTTTCCCCTCAGTACAAAACAGATTAAAAAACATAAAATAAAAAAGCACTATATCTGTGTATACTATTATCATGTACACTCAGTTATACAGATATGTGTCTAATAATCTGAAAGGTGATGCTACATTTTGTATAGTACTGTAAGTACAAAACATAAAAATGAAGGTAAATGTACAGTAAGAAAACCTCTGTCTGTCATACTGATTTTGTTCACATAAAGGAATAGATCAACCAAAACCTAAATTTTGCTAAACATTTAGTCACCCTCAGGCCATCCAAGAATTAGATGAGTTTGTTTCGTGATCAGAACAAATTTGGAGAAATTTAGCATTAAATCACTTGCTCACCAATGACTCTCTGCTGTGAATGGGTGCCGTCAGAATCAGAGTCCAAACAGCTGATAAAAACATCACAATAATCCACAACACGACTCCAGTCCATAATTGAATGTCTTGTGAAACAAAAAGCTGCGTGTTTGTAATAAACAAATCCATCATGTATGGCCTGAGGGTGAGTCAGTTTTTGCCAAATGTTTATTTCTGGGTGAACTACTATATCTTCATGAAATTCCATTTTACCTGTTGATACCCACTCAAGAAAGTTTCTTCAGGAAATGATTATTCATAAATTGAGTGTGGAAACCCTAAGCTAAATTTGTGAGCTTATCACTAACTCATTGTTTCAAAACAATGTATTTACGTCTTTGAGCGGTTTGTATATTTTAAGCAATTAAGGAACAGCACAGCAATGCTTTAGTCAAACATACAAAGCTTATCTACTCCAGCATAACGAGTTTCATGCTGCTACGTGGATAAATATTTGTAAGCCTCATGGAGGACGTTTTGTAACCAAAAAAGCGTCAAATCAAGAGAACATCTGTCCAATTGCTGCATCAAACAAATAAGATTATAATGCTGTAATATTCACTGAAGGCTCAGATCATTATGCCTCTATTCATCTGTGAGATTGGAGGAAACAGTTGCCAGTTTTGGGGGCAGCAGGAAAAAATACCCTACACACAACAGATGTTAGGTGTTGAAATAGCTTACACTGGCCCCCAAAAAGTATTTAGACACTTAAGTCACACTTAAATTACCAAATCATATTTTATTCAGCCAAATGGCATCTGCAAACAAATGATTTTCTCAGAACTGACATTCTCAGACATTTTTGCAATTACTTTTAAGCAGATGTCGGATCCCTTCAAGTTCACACAGGTGTCCTAGCAGAGGAACCACAGGTGCCCAGTCTTAACTTTGATTATTGAACACTATTGTTGCATTATTTTAAACCTAACAAACCTTTTAAGGATGCATTTACTGTTAAGTCAATAGTTATGTTCATGTTATGACATATCTGATTAATGGCTGATATTAAAATTTGTAAACACTTTTGCATAAATTCAAAACAGAAACTTAAATGAAAATTAAATGCAGTTTTAAATTCTGCAAGATCATAAAATAATTTTTTAGTATTAAAAAATAGATATTCATTTAGAGGTTTGCTGAAGATTATATTTAACCTTTTTTAAAATTATTAGTGTTTTTAAAGATTAACTTTAAGTGATGAATGTAAAATAAGCAAAATGAACATGCACAATTAAATATCCAGTATAATTAAAAAGAAAATCGAATATCAGTCGATATAACCATTATGTTATAGATATACAGTAGTGCATCCATAATTATTTTAATATTTTTGCTTGAATTTTGGGTTGTCTTTCTTAAAATGCTTCTTGGTTTGAGATGCAGTGATGTTCATTTTCAAGTGTGACTTCTAAGTGTCCAAAAACATGAGGGCTGCTATATAATTTAAAGATTTTATTACTCAGAATTTCTATGATTGTCTGATAATTAATTAAAAAACATACCTTCACTGCTGTTTATTTATCTCATTTAGAGTCTGTATTAGGTAAAATACTATATATGAGCTGAAGTATATGAGAAAATATAAGAGTAACTGGTACCTCTTTAGCCGCCGCATTCCGAGCCATTAGCTGATCTGTCCACACCTCGTCCTGTTTAGTCATTGGCCAGATTCCTTCAAAGCAGACCACTAATCACATGACAAAGCTGTCTCTATTAGCCTCTGTCTACCCCTCCCTTCCCTTCACTCATCTCTGTTCGGCTTCAAGTACATGCACGGATTTGCCTATTATTATTCTCTTTATTGTTGTGCTAATGAATTATTTGACCAACAGTATTATTTACTGTCATGTGAAATGCGCTGGCTAAGCCCTGAAAGTGATGTGGAATACTATGATAAAGCTAAGCCTCTTCTGGCTGGTCAATAAAATCGGAACAAAGGGGCACCTTCACCATTAAAGCCATCAGTGTCTGGTGAAAAACAGATCTGCCAATCAATGGACTGCTCCAAAGGCATCTGGTTAAACATGTTGTGCATTCCTAGCGAAAAAGGGTGAAATTAATTAGGTTTTATTAGAAGCATTGATACAAAAAAACCTCTTTAAATAGATCCCAGTCTACCCTGGGAAATGGCTCAATGTGATTGTTCTGGATTGAGTGTAATCAGATATATATGACACACTTCTTGAATGCACTGTATGCATTTGAACACTTAAGCCACACTTAGAATGTGTGTTTATCTTCGTATTGGATAACAAAATATAATAGTAGGACATTCATTTGTGCATATTTTATATATATATATATATATATATATATATATACACACACATTTGTATATAAATGCATCTGAAGTAATTGAACTCTAATAGGCAAGTAGACTTAGTTTAATAAAATAACTACTTAAATGTTTACTTTTAAAATGTTTGTTTTTATCTCACTAGTCTAAAAGAAGTAAATAACCCAAAATCTCAAAGTTGACTAGTGCCTGAAAATGCAATAGTTTTTCCCCCTTTCCTTAATTTCTATATACACTCATTTTGTAATTAACGTGAATGTATTATGAATGAACAACAGTATATTTATAAATTAATAATCCTTTACATAAATTGTTGTTCGTGGAGTCTTTTTGTTTAGTGTTGCTTTTGTTTTCTTTGCAACTCTCAAAGAAATCCACAGTGCAAGCAAACTCCCTTCTTTTGGCGGCCGATGCGCCACTTGGCACGCAGGCCCAAATTGTGGATCGTTTCTGGGCATTCAGCAAGATTTCAAACGGGGGGCGCTGTGCTCTCATCCTCCGCCGGCTACAAGGTCACTGGAGTATTGATAAATCACACAGCTGTGATTCCCCCCTGACAGCTCAAACTAACATCAACCTGGATGGGAGAGAACAAAAGACCATCAAGCGGCCCTTTTCTTGACACTTTTATTCAATCACGGCCAGATTGCTTACGACAGCAGCAGCAGCTGTTTTGTCTTCATCTTTCCCCATTTGATAAAGTGTGTCAAGTCATATTTTTGTAAGTATTTCACGTCACCCCTGCTGTGTGAAAGCGGCTCCCGTTTGGCATATGCATTCCACATGAGGGGATCATCAAATGGGTCAGGGTTTAATGACATCCCTCCCAAGGTCATCAGCCATCTAAAAGGGAAGCTGCCACAAAGCTACAAGCTGAGGGTCAAAGATAAGAGCACGCTGGGAGATATCGCAGATAAAAACCAGAAAATTAAACAATGAGGGAACGCGGGAACGCTTTGATTGTGTTGTTCGGTGCGATTGTTATTTTGGGTGCACCAATTCACAGAGTGTCGATGTTAACCTTGTCCTCTCAGGATAGAGGTTACTGATAGGACTAACACATTGTTTGTTTTAGAGCTCCCAGGAATGGGATTTCCATTCCCTGTTCGGGTCCAGTTATAGATTGCATTTGCAGCAGTTGTTTTGTAAGGGTGATGTGTGATCGCAATTACAGATGATTGAATGCTCTCTGATGGGGTGAGTGAGAGGTGAAAGGCAGTTTGAAATGACAGAGGGTCAAAGTCTTGTGAGAATATAATTTCTGTTGTCAAAAGTATTTATATAGGACATTTCCTACCAGTGGGTGGTGCTGAAAGCTATATTGTTTTGGGGGATGCTCATGCTTTATTCAGGGATTTGTGTTTGAAGAAACAAATGAAACCGGTCTAATGATTTTTTTTCTTTCTGAATCGCTTTCAATGTTTGGTTAATGTTTCCAAAGACAAACACTTGCTCATGTTAACTACAGTATGGCTGCCCAAACTTGAAGCAGGCTTGAAGTGGTGCATAGTGTTGCTAGCAGTTTTTCATGTTCCCAAACTTGAAAACAAACAACACTTTTTAAGCCTCCAACAACATGAAACAATGTCTTTGAACACTAGTGATTAATTCAGTTTAAATGGTCAAACATGCAATCTGGAAAGCATAAACCATTTATCAGGTGGGGACAACTCACTCTTGAGTTGGACAGAATCCCAGTTTTATACTCTACGTAGAATCGCTCCACTCGCCACAAAAACAGATGCACTGTCCATATGCTCACCTCCAGAGAAGGAGGATTCA